GTTTAGGGCTTAGGGTTTATATGGTTAAGTTCATATAAAGTGTCAGAAAACTGCCTGTGGAGTTCCCAAAGGATCTATGGATGGGAGATACGTAGACAGAACAATGATCATAATCTCTGAATGTAGGAACCCAAGCTTCATCTATGCACTATGTAGGTGCTTCGGATCCGGGGGGAGGTGGATTCGAGTCCAGAGCCTGATAAAACCCTACTCCCAAAGTGCACGTGGGTAGTGTTCTAAATGATGGTCCCTTTAGGGGTCCTTTTTATAAGGGTGCCGTACTATATTGGGGACCTAGAAAGGGAGCCTAATTTAGAGAACTACCCACGTATAGTTGCGAATTGTCGCCCAAACACGGACAGGTAGTCGAGGACAGGCGGCTTTTATGCAGATATGCTCTACAATGTTTACACGACCTCCGATGACAAGCCCTCCAGCGCCCTAAACCCGAAACACTAAACCCCAAACCCCTTAACCCGGACAGCAGCCCACAACAATAGAATTGTCAAGCTTTGACCGCTAGGGAAAAGGATGCAACCGAAGAACCTTCAGCAACACACGGAACTACAGGGGACTCAATGAACAGAGTAGGACTCGGGGGTGGGGGGGTGTATCATAGTGCGCTTATGGGGGGGGGTATCAAGGGATAGATTTCTGAACGATTCAGACCTCCAGGAGATACAAGTAGGTGATTCCCGAATTGCGACAGACGGGCCTGCCCAAGTGCTTGTAGTTTCACGACGCCCGGCACCCCACTGTTTAAAAAAACCCGGGAAACCTTAGCCGTAGCTGTTGCACGAACCAATTACTGCAAGGGTTATATGCGGAATTCTGAAGCGGTCTGACCATGTTTGTAAGTTTTGACTGAAGCAAGAGAAATTCTCGGCCTTGTTTGACTGAAACGCTGCAAGGCCCGGAAGCTCATGCCCCCCCCTCAACGACAAATGACGTTGGTAATTGTGTGCGCCCCTATATTAGCCCGACAACCACAACTACAACTTCACTCTACATCATTACGATAATCTCAGCAGAACAGGTTATGACCCGTGATAGCAGGATGCAGCACAGGCAGGACCTTGGGATCATAGGGACATGTGGCTGATGGCTTTGGGTCTGCAGGGCTTTGATAGATAGTAAGGTCGTGTACAAGGGTAGAAAGCTGACCAAAAGAGCATGTAGTTAGATCCTCGGGTCTGTCTTACGAATGCACTGCAGGGTCCTGCAGCCCACCTACATCTCATCTGACTGCCAAGTCACATGAAGTAGTTGTGGCGCAGCGCGTGGACGTTCCTCTGTGTTCGAATTGGATATGAGCCCCTACTCCTAAATCTAATCGGACACTCCAACCCAGAAAACTAAGTAAGCCTTCAACCCAGCCCCAAAAACCCCAGCAGCCAAGACGCGAAACCCTTGAGACCTTATAACTTATAAGCCCGCAACTCGAAATCACCGAATTCGCAGCCAAAGCAAGTGAGACAAAATGACCATCTCAGAATGCATCATTCTGTGGAACCCGCAAAAAAGCTGTTAGTATAGCCCCTGCGCAGTTAAAACCCTGTTCTACCCATGGTCTGATCGGCTTCTCTTGGGTGGGAAGCTCGCGTGAGTTTGGTGGAAAATGCCCCAGTAGAGGAGAGAATCTTGAGGATCTTTACAGGATATTGTTGCGTAGAGTGAGAGTGAGTGAGGGAGATAGAGAGAGGGAAGGAGGCAGGCAGGGAGGGAGGGAGGGAGAAAGAGAGATAGAGAGATAGAGAGAGAGTGTACAGCAAGTCGGTGAAAAGGGCGGAAACGGAGGCCTCACACCACACTGGCCGGTTGACATCCCACACGGTCATGAATTGCTATCATGGTGTGGGGGAGTATCCCCACATGAGCTACTTAAGGCCCCAACCTACTCTTAGACCCGTCCGGCACGACGAGCAGGAGGCTTCTACCACTACGGAGGGTTTAGGGTTTCAGGGTACCGCCATTACATCGTATGAGGACTGAGGTTGGGTTTTGCGATTCGGGATTCGGGTAAGGGGGTGCTTGCTGCTGCCAAGCTGCTGCTCGATGTTTGAGCAGTCGATGATCTCGATAGTCCCATCACCTTGTCAGGAGGGTCCCAAACTGCCACTCCAGATCATGTACAGTTCAAAACGATTGTTTCTTACAAGTTGGGGTACAAGTTGGGGCCGATGCTAAAGGAAGTGGGTCAAAAACGTCGAGCTCGACGTTTTTGAGTGATACCCAGAGCGTGAGACATACCCGAGGCCTGATACTAGCAACTTGAGGCTTTGAGTCAGTGTTCCCTAACCTCAGTACCCAAATCCTAAACCCAAAAGCATGTTGTAACTTCTTGTCCGCCTCTCCTCACTGCAGCCTTCTCAAACGTCAGACTATTCATGCAGGCGAATCAGCATACAACTGCCGTCTGTCGGAGGCATAGAGACTTCCCACACAGGCCCAGTCAGCAAGCACGGTCTCATGACCCTAAACCGTAAACCCTAAACCATGGGAGATTGGACTGAGAACCTTAATTTTGGTTGAAAGTGTCCTTTTAATGCCGGGCATCTGGGCCTCTGTGTCTATTCATGGACCCTGCGGTTCACCCTATGCCCTACCCATAGGCCCTAAAGGAGTTCCTTTTCGGATTTACCTTATAGGATGCTACATATGATCCCATAGAGGAACTACTTTAGGGCCTATGGGTAAAGTCCAGGAGTGATTCATGAGAGTCCTGGGCGAGAGACCCTGGGTTTTGCGACCGTCGTCTGCTTACCGGCTCTGTCTTACCAAGGACCCTATCCCCAAACCAGGTTTAGGATTTAGGGTTTAGGGTTTAGGGTTTAGGGTTTAGGGTTTAGGGTTTAGGGTTTAGGGTTTAGGGTCTGAAACCCTAACACAAATGGCCCAAAACCCTAAACCCCAAACCGTGCAATCTTACAACTCAGGGTCTGAAGGTGGTCCCTGCCCCTTAGACCAGACGAGACTATACCATACGATATCACACCCTACTACACTAGATCCCATTCGATAACCATAAACCCTAAACCCTAAACCCGTGCAGTAGTATCTATATACATCTATATATATATATATAATATATATATATATATATATAATATATATATAGATATAATGAGCAACTGCCCGGCAAGAATGGGGGGAAGCCTTGGACTCGCGGAGGGTGGAGCATCTGGCTGAGTTGATGGCCCAGTCCTTCGGGGCTTTGCCGGGGCTTCGACTTGATTCTGGGCTCGGTTCAGGGGCTAAGGTTTAGGGCTTTTTTGAGCTTAGGCTGTAGGCCTTAGAGCTTAGAGCTTATAGGGTCTAGGGTTCAAGGTTTAGGTTTTATAGGCTATAGGGCTTAGGGCTTTAGGGCTTTAGGGCTTAGAGCTTATAGGGTCTAGGGCCTAGGGCTTCTTTATCCAATACAACAAGCCTCTGCTGCAGGATGTCAGTGAGGATCGCGGGTCTATAGCTTCCATAGCCTTAAAGCCTGAAATAGGGGCCTTAATGATTAGAATAGGGTTTAGGGTATATTATACTATAACTATAATAAGGAGCCCCCAAAACCCTATTCTCATTATTAAGGGCCCTATATTAACACAATGCCTGCTCTGGGTTCCCGTTTATGGCTTCCGTTCTGCAAGTCCTTAAAGCAAGCGGGTCTTTGGTGTTGAGGTCAAGAGTCAAGGCTTACCGCTTAGGCTTTCGTTCTGCATCTCTACATGGGTTTGCAGGGTTCATACAGGTTTGGTTGGGGTTCAAGGTTTCCCCGTGGCTCCAATTACCTGCTGTCCTGTAATTGATCAAGCAATCAGAACTGGCTGCGTTTAAGGCTCAAAGCTAGCAGACTTCATTAAGATATAGAGAACCCTAGCATAAAACCATGACCCTCCAAATGTCCCGCTTGACGACTTCCGGTGGTCCAAGCATGGGGAAGACTACTTTCCAGATTTATGACTTGCACTTTAGTGTTGAGTGGCACGACAGATGCAATCAACCGGGCACCCTGTCCGAAGTCGGTCGGCAAAGTCTTGCAGACTCTGCAACATGATCATCAAGGGGTCATGAAACAAGAAGCATTGAGCGATGAAGCTCTTACCTTCATCACAAGTACCTGGCATCTTCTCGATGCGGGTCTGGCGGAATGCCGTCTGAACATCGCCCTCAACACCCGAACCTGTCTGCAGCAGAGTTCTGCAGTTCCAGGCCTCCCCACAGAAACTCAAAACTTTGCAATACTCTGCAAGAGTACCAAGAGTACCGTGCTGCAAGGACAATGCGGCAATGAAGCCCTCATGCATGCCACTCGCACTTGCAGCTAGAAGTAAGTAACAATTCGTACAGCCCCGATAAGATCAAGTACAAATCTCTCCCCCCCTAAACCCTAAACCCTAAACCCAAAAACAAAAAAACAACTTGAAGCCCTAAGTCCGCAGCCCTGCCCTGACGGGTCCAACCCTCCTCTTTGCCCTCCGGCTCTCCACAACAGCTCCAGAGCCTTCTAGTGTAAGCTTGTAGAGGGTCTATAGGTTCAATTAAGGCTTGGGGTTTAGGGTTTAGGGTTTAGGGTTTAGGGTTTAGGGTTGCCTTCTAGTGTAAGCTTGTAGGGTCTATAGGTTCAATTAGGGCTTAATTAACTAGGCTTCAGGGCTTCTTCTACAGTAATTAGGACTTGTAGGGTCTATAGCTTCAATTGAGGCTTAATTGAGTTTCAGGGCTTCTTAACCCTAAACCCTAAACCCTAAACCCTAAACCCTAAACTCTACAGTAATTAGCATCTTTGGGGGCCCAACAGCTGGGCAATTTTGAGAGTCTAGGGAGCCATGGGGTCCGAAAGCGGCTGGCTCCTGACAATACTCGGCTCCGCGTGGTTTGCGTGGCGCTGACTCCATCCAAGGTGTGCCTGGAACTTGCAGGATCTTCTCCGTCATTCCTACCTTTCAGTCCCTCTAACAAAATTTACAATTAATATAGGGGCCCCAGTAATCAGAATAGGGTTTTGGGGTATATTTGACTATAACCATAATGAGGAACCCCCCCAAACAAATAGTATTGGTAAGTACTAAGGCCCCTATATTCTGCGCCCGGCGCCCAGTCTCTCGCTCGCTCTGTCTCTCAGGTGGGTGTAGACAGATGTGCTTGTGTAGGTGTGTGTGTGTGTGTCTCTCTCGGAAGTACCCTAACCATAAGATCCTAAACCCTAAAACCCTAAACCCCCAAACCCCTAAAACGCTCAAGCCTAAAACCCTAAAGCTGTCTGCTCGTGCTTGACATGCTTCGCCGTCTTTTGTGGTGGCAGCCGCGGTTCTTGCTTATTCTTTCCCATGATCCCTGGCCTTCCTGTCCATAAAACCCTAAACCCTCAACCCT